CCTGAAGGTCGCACCCCTGAGGGGTGTGGTTCGCTTCGGGAAGAAGGGGAAGCTTCGGCCTCGCTATATCGGACTCTTTCAGTATCTCGCACGAGTCAAAGACTTGGCCTAGCTTTACCGCATGTGTTGTCGGAGTGTATGACCCCGAACACGTAGTGGACTTCGTCGAGTTGCAGGTCGAGTGAGGCCTTACCTATGAGTAGGTACCGGTGTTCGTACTGGACCGGAAGGTTCATCAGCTGAGGACCCGGGCAGTTGATCTTGTCGAGGTGCAATGGAACCGGCACGGCAAGTCCGAGGCGACTGGGGAGACTGAAACCCAGATTAGGAGGAGATATCCGAACTTCATGTTTGATGTAGTATGTTAGAGTTTGGATGTTTTTAGTTTCGAATTCCGAGGACGGAATTCTTTTTAAGGTGGGTAGACTGTAATGCCCCGTTTATTCGTGTAATATTTGGGATTATTTGTTTATTTATTTCTTTCATTAATAATATTATTGTTATTATTATTTGTCTAATTGTCTAAATTGTTTATTATTATTATTATTATTATTATTATTATTATTATTATTATTATTATTATTATTATTATTATTATTATTAATATGTCTAATTGTTTAAATGCCTATTATTATTAAATAAATATTATTGTTATTTATATTAAATGTCTAAGTTGCCTAAATGTGATTATGTGATTAAATAGTTAATAAAAAAAATAACAAAATATTTTTTTTGTGTGTGTTATATATATTATTTGATTTAATCTATTGTCGCGATCGTATCCGAGCAATTTCTCCGAGCGAGTCTTAAGTGTAATTATCGGCCCATGCGTATGATTTTTTTTTCGGCCCGTTTAAATTAGATTATCCGGCCCTTTTATATTTCTCCCTTAGAGTTATGGTTGGCCCAACTTCCTTATTACTACTTGGCCCTAATAGCATCATTTTAGTGTCCATTATTTGATACTTGGCCCAAGAAAGGGAAATTAACTCACGTGCAAGTTTGGATCAGATATTTTCTTCTCACCTGCGAGACCGAGTCTTCCTCTTCGACCGATCAGATTTGTTGCAAATTACCGGCGTAATTCTTCGCACTATCGCACATTATTCTCTTGCTCACCTTATTATATCCGATTGAGGGAGAGAGAATTCTTCATCATCTCAATCTCATCTTGAAAAAAAAAAAAAATC